ACACTCGACCCTTCACAGACAGTCAGATGTCGCGACGGCGCCACAGATTTCTCAAGTTGGCATATGCCAACCGAGCCTTCTGTATGTGAGCTGACACTTCATCCATGGACCTATGAATTTACGCATTCACAAATGTCTCAGAATCTTACACCCATGCAAAGCTCTCTCTTAAAATCTGCACGCAACACTTCCACCCACCCCCTACACAATACCCCTCCTCTTTCTACTGTTTTTCCCACCCCGAACGGTTCCACTGACGTAGGTTCATGTTGTAGCTTGCCGCTATCTTCCTTGACATCTGTCTCGGGGCCGACCGTTCCATTCCTCCGACCTCACTCTGCGTTCATACTGGCTTCATTCAACGTAAGAACTGTAATGCGTATAGAACAACAAGCAGGTTTGGCTCGTACGCTTGAAAGTCTAGAGATTGATGTGTGTTGCCTCTCGGAAACACGCATCCAGGATCCGAGCTCAGTGATCCGATTAACGTCTCCTTCCAATCCTAAAGAAGCGTTTCGACTGCGTGTCTCCGGGGACCCTATCGCTTCAGCGTCTGGTCAAGCAGGCATTGGTATTGCCTTAAGCGCCAAGGCCGAGGCTGGTCTATTGGATTCTCACTGACCCGGCCGTACTAGCCGATTATCAAAACGAGTTGGCCGCAAGGCTAACTACTACCCTACCAAGTAGCTTAGATCAACACTGGACAACCATTCGAAACGCACTGCACTCAGCCGGTTTACACAGATGTGGCCTAACCCGCCGAGTTGTAAACCACTGGGTCTCCTCCAATTCTCTCAGACTCCTCGACGCGCGTCGGGTAATCCCGGTAGACAGCAAGTACAAAGAAAAGCGCCTCTCGGTGAAGCGTGAACAGAATTTTAGAGACGACAGAGAGGCCTGGTGGACGCTACGTGCAAAGGAGATGGAATCAGCGGCTAGGTGTGGAAACACCCGGCAACTATTCCAGCTCATCCGTGCCACAGGCCCCAAAAGACAGTGCGTTAGTGAAACAATCTGCGAAGTAGACGGCACGTTAATAAACAGCCTTCACTGACGATTGGAACGCTGGGCGGAGCACTTCACATCGCAGTTCAACCAGCCCCCCGCGCTGGCTGCCCCAAGCAGTTCTCTTGAAAGTGCACCCTGGCCACTACCCACGGGACCGCCCACAGAAGCGAAAATCCGAAAAGAACTCCAAGCCCTGAAACGCCACCAACCAGCTGAATCAGACGGCCAGCCACCTGCCCTCTTTAAAGATGGTGGAGATGCTCTGGTAAGCGAACTTGTGAGATTGCTCTCGAATAGCTGGGAAACTGAAAGTGAACCCCACATATGGGGAGAATCGATTGTCACACTCATCTACAAGAAGGGCTAAAGCAACGCCTGTTCCAACCACAGGGGCATAAGACTGATTCCAATAGCGCCGAAGCTGCTAGCGTCCATTTTATTGCGCAGGCTATGCCCATTCTACGAGAAGCAAATCCGCGAGGAGCAGGCCGGGTTTGTGCATGCCGTGGATGCATAGATCAAATCTTCACCCTCCGCCACACATACAGACGACAAACCGTTGNTTTTAGACATCAGAGCTGCTTTCGACTCTATCGATCGCTCCGCACTATGGAACTCTTCGCAGTACTACGAAGTACCCGAGAAGTATGTCTCAGTCCTAAAAGCGCCCTATCACAGACCTCGGGAAAGGTTAGGGTGAATTTTCACCCACATTTCCTGTCACCAGTGGGGTACGACAGAGTTGCCCTATCTCTCCGTTTCTCTTCAACTTCGCCATAGATGATGTCCTACAAAACGCGTTACATAACGCAGCGAACGCTGGTGTCCAGTTTCTTCCTGGGGACAGAGTCGTGGACTTAGAGTACACCGATGATATTGTGTTACTGGGTGACAACGCACCAACGATTCAAGAGTCGTTGAACCGTTTGGTGATTGAGGTTGCTCGCTATGGTATGTCATTTGCACCTTCAAAGTGCAAAGTATTGTTGCAAGATTGACAGGAAAGCATTCCTGCACTTCCATTGGATAATGACACTCTGGAAGTAGTCGAAAGCTTTATCTACCTTGGGAGTTGCATAACGGCTGGCGGAGGTATGGGGAGGAGATCTCTCAACGCGTGATCAAAGCTAGATTAGCGTTTGTCAATCTGCGGCATCTCTGGCACTGGCGCGATATATCCTCTTCATTGAAAGGGCGTGTGTTGCGCAACGGTACGCACCGTGTTGCTCTACGGCTGCGAGACCTGGTCTCTCCGAGTAGATCACGTCCAGCAGCTATCAGTCTTCGACAACCGTTGTCTGCGCAACATCGCCCGCGTATGGTGGGAACATCGCGTGAATAACGATGAAGTCAGACGAAGGGTGCTAGGACCAGATAGTATTGCTTTGGGCAAAATAATTTCACAGCATCGTCTTAGGTGGCTAAGGCACGTCCTACGAATGCCTGAGCACCGTCTGCCACAACCTGCACTACTCAGAGACAACGGGCCAGGCTGGAAGAAACTACGAGGTGGGCAGGCTACGACGTGGCTCAGAGGGTTCAAGAGAGAGAGAGATTGTGCTCGGATCTGGCTTCCGTTGGGGTTTCTCGGCTCCCCGGTTGGGGCCCCAAGGACTCAGTCTTTGGCTGGAGACACTGCGGGATATGGCATCGAACCGAAGTCAGTGGCGCTAATGCATCATCTCTTGTCTACAATCCCAAAAATAAATAAAAGCGAAAAAGAACTCAAAATGGTTTGCAGTTAACAAACAAAAAAATATTGTTACTCCTCGAAGTTGACTGTTTTATTATCCCCGTTTTTATACCTATATTTTTTCGTTAATCCATGGCTATCTTTGGCGCCGTTTCTGTAAAGATTGGTGTAAATAATAATTAATAATAAATGACACTTCATCCGTGATGCGTCCACCGAGTGAGATGTAGCTGCCCGAATAACAAAAGTTACCCACTCTTACTCTATTACTTCCTCAGTTAGAGTGAAACTGTGTTATGGACCAAGCCAGTCTTGTAGTAATATTTTACACTTTGAAGGTGCAAAACGCATACCG